CCGTGTCCCACACTTGCACCTGGGAAGCAAAGCAGACAAGAAAGCAGGCTACAGCAGCGCCGAGTGTCCCCCCGAGGCAGGGCCGGCTGCCTGAGGAGCAGGCTGGCTCCTTGAGCTCCCGGCAGCAGGATGCAGGAGGGCTTCCCGCTCCTCCATCCTTGACAGCAGTGCCACAGCCGCGAGGCAGGGCGCCGGCGAGGCACGCCTTGCAGGGAAGGGCGACCTCTTATCAGACAAACCGGGATCGATGGATGAGTTACACAGGCTTTCGGGCTATGCCGACAGTGCCCAAGGCGGTACAGGCCGGTGCACGTGCTTGTGTCATCCAAGCAAGCAAGCCCAGCTCATCTCGTAAGAGAGATCCCGGCAGCACTTTCATTCACTTTCAGCACTCACGGGCGAGTGCAAGGCGCTGCACAGCGTCTCCCATTTCTCAGCCACTGCGGCTGATCCTGTGTACTCCAGAGAACTGGCAGCACACTTGTCAGCAAGAGAAGTCCCTGCTTGATGACTTACCTGACTTTGTAACACCTTGCCAGGCAGCCCTCCTACAGCTCTCCGCTGCTGGGCTGCTCCCTGCTTCTCATCCTCTTCCCGATGCACTTGACCACCATCCCCACCACAGAAACGAACCGCACAAAGCACTTCTCATTTCACAAACGTTCTTGCGCCAGATCAGGACATTTGTCCACCTAATCCTACGCCATAAAAGAGAACCCCGACAATTACACAGCGGTATGTACAGAGAAGTCAGGGTAAAGAGAAGAGGAGGAGAGAGAGCTACCCCTTGTGTGAGACAGGAGCAGGAGGGCACGGAGCTCTGGGGATGGGTAAGGAGCCAACTGAGAGCTTGTGCGTGAGGACTAACGAGCAGATTGGCACGGGTGATGTTGTAGGGGGCATCTGCTACAGGCCGCCTGACCAGGAAGAACGAGTGGATGAGGTGCTCCACAGACAGACAGGAGCAGCCTCATGTTTGCAGGCCCTGGTCCTCATGGAGGGTTTCAACCACCAATAGCTGCTGGAAGGACAACACAGCAGGGCGCAAGCAATCCAGGAGGTCCCTGGAGAGCATTGATGACAATTTCCTGACCCAAGTGACAGAGAAGACAACAAGCTCCTGGGCTGGATGAGCGGACAGTGAGCAGATTGGAAACTGGCTGAAAGTCTGGGCCTGGAAGGTAGCGATCAGTGACACAAAGTCTAGTTGAACGCTGCTAACTAGCAGTGTACCCCAGGGGTCAGTACTGCGCCCAGTCCTGTTCCACATCTTCATTAATGATCTGGATGGTGGTGCAGAGTGCACCCTCAGCAAGCGTGCAGATGACAGCAAACTGGGAGGAGCGTGGCTAGGCTGCGAGATGGTTGTGCTGGCGTCCAGAGCTCCCTGAAGCGGTTGGAGAAGGACACTGACAGGAACCTCAGGAAGTTCAACAAAGAGAAGTGCCGCCAAGTCCTGTCCCTGGGGAGGAACAACTCCAGGCACCAGGACAGGCTGGGGACCAGCCAGCTGGAAAGCAGCTTTGCAGAAAAGGAGTTGGGGGTCCTGGTAGACACCAGGTTGAACACGGGCCAGCAGTGTGCCCTCGCAGCAAAGGCGGTGAAGGTATCCTGGGCTGCATTAAACAAAGTATTGCCAGCAGGCCAAAGGAGGTGATCCACCCCCTTGACTCAGCGCTGGTGAGGCCATGCCTGGAGCGCTGTTTTCAGTTCTGGGCTCCCCAGTACAGGAGAGGCATAGGTAGGAGAGAGCCCAGCAAAGGGTCACGAAGATGACGAAGGGACCGGAGTGTCTCTCCTATGAGGAGAGGCTGAGAGAACTGGTACTGTTCAGCCTGGAGAAGAGAGGGCTCATTGATACATCTTACCAACGTACATAAATACCTGAGAGGAAGGTGCAAAGAAGATGGGGCCAGGCTCTGTTCAGTGGTGCCCAGTGACAGGGCCAGAGGCAGTGGGCACACTCTGAAACACATTAAGTTCCCTCTGAACACCAGGAAACACCTGTCACCATGAGGGTGACTGAGCACTGGCACGGTTGGCCAGGGAGGCTGTGGAGCCTCCATCCTTGAAGATACTCAAAAGCCATCTGGACATGGTCCTGAGCAACCAGCTTCAGCAGGGGGTTGGAGCAGATGACCTCCGGAGGTCCCTTCCATCCCACATTTCGTCTGTGATTCCATGGGTTCTGCTGGCCCTTGTAGGTAACGTCCTACGGCCTGGCTAAACAAGTGTCTGCAGTTAATCCCAATCGTCCCGTCCCCCGCTGAGACAGCGCCTGCCCCACAGTCTTTCAGCGTGGAAAAACGCTGGCAAAGAAGAGCCTCTGCTCTTTCGCTTCCCCGTCGCTCTCTCCAGGGCTGTTCCGTCTGGGCAGAGCAGGAGAGGGGCTGTACCTCTCCCACCTCTCACCTCCCGTCTTGAGCGCGTGGTCCCAGGAAAAGGTCAGTTTGCCGCGCTGCCTCCCACTCCTGCTGCTGGAGCACAAATAGTACCCAAAGGCAGAAAGCCTGGCAACGTTTTCAGGCCCGTGGCAAGAGGCCAGGCTCCGTGCCAGCCTGCGCTACAGCCTACGCCACCACAGCTCTGCGGGGTGGATGGAGCTGGGGAAGATGGGGTGAAACGAGCACCTCTCCTCTCAAAGGAGAGAGAGAAAAACGTTCATGGGCAGTTTAAAAGCACAACTAAAGTTCTTACTCACTACCGGTGGGTCTGATTTCATTGCGACTAGTCCCTCAACTTTTGGTCGTCCATCTGTCAGCAAAACAGCAATGTTTGCTGCCACTGGAAATCAGTCTTACACTTGGATGGCTGCTGGTGCTGAGCCCCCAAACTGGGCTCCCCAGGCTGCCTCCGCCACCCCAGCCAGAGCTCTGCGGGCTCAGGCCGATGTGTTTCTTATTACGGGTATGGCGCTGGCCTCCGTACAGCAAACCCGTCCTGCTCTGGTTCTGCTGAAATCGCACCTTCCCCGTGCTCCTGGCAGCGGCCCTCAACACCAGCATCACAGC